CTTTTGTGCTGCAAGAAATCTAGTTTGAGAGGTACCTATCTTAACTTATTCTATACTTGTGAAAATCAGAAATTATATGTGTTGTATTTTACTTATCTGAAATATATAAATCAATAAAACGATGTATGCATTATTCAAATCATACTGATTAGAGAAAAGTTTGCACAAAATAATTGTAAATTATAACTTTAAATGTCTGGAATATTATAAATTTTAAAATTTGTATAGAAATGTATGTAAATGTAAATAGACTGAAAGAAATCTGCAATACTGCAATAATGTTAACATTATAAGAGATTTGTATTTAATAGAGCTTAAATTGTTAATGTAGTTAAAATATAATTATAATTCATATTACTGCGGGCATACATTTATAAATTTTTAAAATTTTATTAATTATTATTACATTGTGCAAAATTAAACTAAAAAATGTTGAAAGCCATTAAAAGAGTAACATAATATAAATGTATCGCGAAAAAGAGTAGTACCTATATAATATATATCGATATAAATAAAGATAAATAGAGATATGAGTGTTGAAAAAAGAAATATTTTTGCGATAATCCGACTTCCGCTCGGAATATCGAAACACGCCGAATTAACGGTCGATTTTTCTTAACGTACGACGCGCTTTTATCCCGTCAATATTCAACGATATAACCCGGCATAGTCTACGTTATTAACATCGTAAATGCAGTGCTGCGTGCTACGGTTGGCTGGCAGAAGCCTCGCAATCTGCGTAAAGTTTGCGCAGCGAGGGATGTAGGCTCGTGGGTGGGTGGAGAACTCTCTCGGGTTTGAGGTACTGGGATCTGGTCTCTCGATCGTCTTGCTCGCCTGGTACAGGCGCGAAACCGCTGGATCGTGAATGTTCCGGCGATGTCGCTGGTTTAACGGCGTACCGTATCCAGCGACGGCTGTGTAATTTAATGAGCATAAAAGCCAGAGGTACGATTAATACGCGCGCTAAAACGAGGACGACGTTGTCGACAAGACACACGGCTATACGTGCAGCGCCGATTTGAGAGATAGAGTATGTGACACCGACGTAGAATTACAGAAAGTTGTGACTCTTTGTGCGGAGCTCGGTATGTTTTTTAATTTATTCTTTGAAGCACCCGCGCGCATATTTTCGTGATATTAATGAGAGGAAAAAACGCGCAAAAAAAATAATTATATATTTTATATAAGTTAAAATGGGAAGCGCAATTAAAGATCGTATAACTTTCCTTTCTTAAGAATGAGGAAAAGAAAGAAGGATGATGACAAAACATAATATTATTTCTGAAAGGAGTACCACAATTTCTAATTAACATCAAAAACACGTGTTAATCTTCTTGATGTAAAAGAGTTGGTAATTAAATATGTTTTTACACACTACTTTTACTTTCTAAAAAAGACGAAAATACAGTTATAGTTTAATATAGTTGTTTATTGTAGCTTATAATGTGTTATTATAGATCTAAAAGAAGAGACAGTGACATATATATTTCGTAGTAGGTCACTGAAAGCTTGGACATACATTATCGCTCGACATGGGAAACGAAAAAAAAACGAGCAATACATCTTCCAACATCACAAGTGCGCGATCCTCGTAGGTTACTGCACGCGAGTGAAATGATGTCGCCCCCCGACTTGCAAGTTTGCGCGACTGGCCGGCCGGTAGGGGTGGAGAAGTTTAACTTCAGAATTTACGGGCTGACGCGAGGAAAAAAGTTTCGGCACACATCTGGATGCGGCCGACCGATAATCGATATGTGCGGCCATTCTTGCCGTGTGTCACCCACACACCACTCTGAAATCAAGATTTTTCGGTTAATTTGGCCTCTAGTGCCTTTCCGACCCATTTGAGAATGCCGTGAAAGTGGAAAAGTTGTTGCACACGAAGGGGGGATATTCATTTATAATGCTTACATTGAACTTTGTATTGCTTCACGTTTTATTTTTTTGTTACACTTGTGATTGAGATAAGCATCATTAACTCCTTTACTATCAAAAGTTTTTATTGGTCTCCGTAACCAACGAAACCAATATACGTATATCAGTCACTATTCTTTTTTTTGTCTCTTTTGTGGAAGTTTAATAAATCATATCTATATATATTAAATTTGTAAATCGAATTAAATGCAAAATCTATAAATCAAATTAAACATAAAATATTTTAAATATTTTTGCTAAACAAGTAAATACAACTTTCAATTAAACATTTTACTGATACGCACACATATAAATATCATTTTTAGCACAAAAGCAAACAATTTTTAGTCTTAACAAAATATTTATGTGTATATATTAATTCCAATAAAATTATATACATGTAGTATTAGGTACAGTGTGTGTATGTATATATAAATAATATTTGATATATAATAAATGTAAGATATAATATATTTTTGTATATACGATTTATATATTTAATTATATAGTATTATCTTTTCGTTAATATGCACACAAGTTTTTTTTAACTTTTGCTATTAAAACAAAAATTGAGTCTTTCTATTTTAATGTCATATAAGTTAAGTGCAATGTACATACAATATGCAAAATGCGTTAATAAAAGTTGATTGTGTACAAAAAAAACATTGATTTTAAGTCCTCTTCATAAAATGTGGTTTCTTGTTATTATAATCAGGGACATCAACAATCATAAATAAATTATATGTCTTATAAACATGTACTTGGATGTACTAATTGTCAATAAAAATCCACTGAGCCTCCAGGAAAGCACCAGACTCATTTTCGTACTATCTTTCGTACGCTTTCTTATACTCGTCGAATGCTCCTCGTCAGACACTTTCGTTCGAGCGTGAAACACGCCGCATCTGTAATTTCCGTGCAGGAACTCCGCAATTCCACCAGGCCGTATCTTTCGCCGATTCGCACGTCTTTCTCTTAGTCTCCCATGTCCGTCGTCTTTCCTTCGTCTTCTCTTCTCTTCACTTTGCATCGTCCGTACATTCGAAAAACTCGCCTGCGAATATGTTCTCTTATTCCGCTTATCGTAAAAACGGATCGTTCGGATCGGAAAAAGAGTATACACTGAGACCTGAAAAACAGTAACAGTTAGTTTTAGTCTTTCTTACAGTAATTCATTATGTACTACTAGAATAAACATTCTCCCAGTAACCAGTGCGGATTTCATAGTAACTATTACGGATTCTATTATACCGTACAGATAGACTGTAAAGGCTTATTTCTTAATCCAGTATTGGATTAGTATTGTATCGTTTCATAACCATTACGATAAAGACCAATAATGATTCCGGTAAAATATTTTAACGAAAAAAAAAATTTATTTTTTATTTTTAAGTAGTTCTTATTTTTTTCTAATATTTTTATAGTTTAATCTGTATTCATGTTTTCGTGTATATTTTATTAATTATATTAATTATAATTTTATTAATTATAATTACGCATTGTGTTACAATTTTTGAAAATGTATTAACTGCATGTGATGCAAAACACGCAAGACGGATTCGAACCTAAAATTCCAGAATGGCAGCCTAATACGATAACGCTGAGCTAACAATCTATTCTGCAATGACTATTCTGAATTTCATATCTCTCTGAGCTCGCATGATAGAACGAATACTGAAAGACAATAATAGTAATAGTAATAGTCATGGCAGAATCGCACATGATTGAATAATGAAACATCAGTAATTATTTATTCTTTCAGACAATATCGCTTACAACCTTAGTCTTTAGATATTACTGTGTTTTTCAGTAGACATTGCTCTTTTTTAGTAAAGCCCCTTACATAATGCTAAGCGATAACGATAACGATAACCGATAGCGACATATAGTAAATAGTACTCGATAAATTAAGTTTCCTTTAGCTGCGGCGTACATACCGGAGTTACCCTAAGCGTGTTAAGATTAAAAGTTGAGAATGAACGAAAATTCAGAGACTACTACTGTTTTTCGATTCTCAGTGTAATGGACGACAGCGGCGAGCTGTCTCGAGATCGTGCGCGTGAAATACGCAGGTACGTCACGCACGTCCCGTCGTCTGTAAATCAGTCGCGAGTGCTGGGGTTCTCGCGAAATATTTAACGACGATTCCTATCCTCGTTCCGCAGTTGCGCCAACCCTTCAGCCTGCCTGCTAAATTTATTGCATAATTTCAAAACGGTTCGGCATTTCCGTGCAGACCTGTGACTCGTCGCGGATTGCGCGGCTTTCGCAAACGCAAACGATAAATTAAAAGTTGCGACATAATGTTCTCAAATTGCTGCTTATTTGATCTATAATTCCGAATGAATGACTATCATGGGATAATTATAGGCGAAAATACATCGCGCGCTGAAATTTTCCCACGAATATATAACAAAAACGATTAGGGAAATGAATAGAAGAAAACGCATTCAATATTAGAATTGCATTAGTAATCGCATTGCCGCAATGAACAAGTTTAAATGGCGATTATAATATTATGCAATATAAATAACGAAGAAAATAATTTAATATCATAACTATTTGCTGAATTTTATAACACGTTATTAATTATTGCAAAAATCAAAAAGCCAACAAAGATATATGTTATTTGATACAATTGTTGAACGTCTGATTATGCGATTAAATTTTTATTTTTGACAAGAGGAGCATAAAGAAATTATTATGTATTACAGACAGTTGATCATAAATAACTTTTTATAAAATATTTTTTTATAAAACAATAAATACTTATGCTATATATTGTTCAAGCTTTTGATTGAATATAAAATACTTCCACGACATTTCGCTGACATGGAAGAGCAATAACGGAAGACAATTGATAAAGCTATGACACAGCTATAATATATCTTTGTTGCATCATGTTATAATCAATTAATTATATCATTAGAAAAAATTATAACATGTATTATATAATATATGTATAGTAAGCACAATATTTTTTCTATTTTTTTATTTACCTTTTACAGCTTTTATGATTATATATAATATACGTACAATATTTTCTCTGTATATATTTAATATATTTATACGATGTTTGAATTTACAACATTTACTTAATCTTGGTATTTTCTTCAAATGCTTATATTCATTTGTAAATGGGGACAAATTTTACACGAATTGGATGAGCTGAGCGAAGTACTATATCAGCATGTATCCGAAGATCTTTTAAACAATCAATGGACTCCAAATAGAAATTATGTATCAAAGGAGCTACCATCGCCTTCATTTCCAGTAGAGCATATCGTTGACCTACAAATTAATGTGTATCACATTATATTCATATAAAAGGATTTAAAAAATATAATATCTTACCAATACAGTTACGTGGTCCAGCACTAAATGGTATGTACGAGTAAGGATGACGATTTTTTATCTTTTCAGGCAAAAATCTATCTGGATCAAATACCTCCGGATTTGGCCAAAAATTAGGATCTCTATGGACTCCGTGAATATTAAGATGTAAAATAGTTCCAGCAGGTACTAAATATGATTCTAAAGAACATGAAATATATAAGACGCAATATATAAATAATAATAGCAAGTTTGAAATTAAATTAAAATTTAATTAAAATATAATTAAATTTTTAAAATTAAATGTCTATTTAACATGACATGGAATATATCATATAGTTGCGTAGAAAACGTAATAATGTAATAATTATATTAAATCTAGTAAATAATATTATTTTTGAAAACATTATATGTTGTATTATTAACGTCATTTATAAGTATGAAGAAATTTTCTGAAATAAAGATATTATTTCCTGTATATATTTAGCTTTTGATACTTAAAATGCATATAACAAGAGATTGGTTAAATACGTACGTAATTTTACATCTTCCGCAGCGACACGTGATATGAAAAATACACTGGGATATAAACGTAACGCTTCCTTTATACATCTGTCTAAGTATGGTAGATTTTGTAATGATTTTATAGTAAATTTTTCTCCACTTTCTTGAATAACAGTATCAACTTCGCTTCTGACACGATCCTGTATTAAGAATGTAATTAAAAAGATGTTTCTTATTAGTCTGATGTTTTTACATGTACATTAATCAATTCCGAAATTCAAGAATGTTCGTTTTAGAGATACATCAATTTATTTAAAACATATGTACGTAAAATATGTATAGTATTTGTCGTATGTAAAAAAGCAAATTGTTCACTGCGCGCACACACACACACACACACTTATATAAAAAAAAATTTATAATTTTACAGCTTTAACAAATAACTTCTTAAATTACTAGAATTAATTAATTTTTCTCCTAAGGGTTGCGCTCCTTTAATAATAAATACCTGAATATCCTTATGCTCAGCTAATAGTGCTAACAGAAAGCTTAGACCTATCGCTGTAGTATCATGACCCTATCACAAAATATATATCAATATACCAAATAATGCATAAAAAACCAAGAGAAATTACAAACACATACCTCAAACATAAAAGTATCAACTTCTTCCCTGATATCTAAATCAGTCAGAAGCCCTTTTTGAGATGCAACTATTAGAAGGTCCAACATTGCGAGCCGCTTTTTTCTTACTAAATCGAAGTGTATAAGCATGTTATTATCAAAATGTTATACCACAATTCTTGTTTTATTATATATCATTCATTATATTTATAATTTATATATGATATTACTTTTAAATTGTAAAGAGTAATGCTTGAATATATATTTAAGATACAGATGTTGATTACATTACTTACTTCCAATTGTGTCTGCATCATCTGTCTCTATCGATGTGTCATTATCGAAGCTTTTCAAATATCGACCATTGGTGTGTTCATGATACAGTTTTCTTTCTGCAATAATCTATGCGTATACAAAATTAATACCTTTTTAATTTACAAGAATGCAAATACATTATCAACATATTGCCGATACTTATGAATTATATTATAATGTTTTTATGCAAAAGTTATGAAATCTTTATTCTAATTTTTCAAAATAAGTAATGTTCAGATACAAATTATTAATATTAAATAATATTGTTTTTAATACCGTACTTGATCAGTAAATCCGTGTAATATCTTCAGAGTTTTTGCTTGCTCTCTGCCTTTTGGCGTTAATGAATATATCCAATTGTTTTGCAACCATTGCCTTAGTAATCTAAATTATTGAAATCATTAATAATTATAATTATTAAATGATAGATAGTCTGAGAAAATTATAGCATTATTTTGTAAAAACTTCTTTTAACTTTTCTATAAATTCTTATAATTAGCAATATTTAAGGGATTATCCCACTTTGACGGCCCAAAAACTAGGCTATTTTTAACAATTTTTTTCACAGTAAATACACCATATAATGAAATGAATCTTTTTGGGATTTATTAGGGTACTCTTAAATAACACCAAAAAATTTTTGTCATTTATCGTTTTTACAGTGTCAAAATAGCGTGTCAAAAAAGATGCAAGTCCGCTGCGTTGATCAGTTTTTTAATTCAGGCTTACTTGAAACAAAAAATCAAAAAGATTCTTAATCTGTATGAGTGTCGCTATGTCCCGAACTAAAATCAGGTCAAAATGTTTAAGTGTGCACATATATTACACTTATTTATAGTATTTGTAAATTACCTATAAATAAGAAGTTCGCCCATCCGATGAACTGCATTTCGATACTTTAGCTGAAACGTACCGAGACCATGTAGAGAAGTGCCCATGGCAGTTTCTGTAAATGCATTTGTTAAAGAGTGTATCACGATAATATTTTTATATACATATACATATTCCAAAAACATGACTGTAAAAATTATATATTGTTGATTATTAGTGTATCGTAATATTAATATTCTGAATAAAAGAATTCTTTTATATTATTCGCCATTTGGAATATAATTCTATATAGTTATGGACAGAATACAATACCGCATATTGCATTTAGTGTATGTTCACTAACAAATGGTACTAAATCTTTTACAACTGTGCCTCCTGCATTTTTCAAAGACCTTGTCATGTATTCGCCTTCCTCAATCAAAATCTCTACAAACTGCTGCAGTATATTAAAATGAAATGTGGGGGTTAATATCTTTCGCCGCATATGCCACTTGGAACCTAAAATCAATATAACCATATAGGATAACGCTTTTAAACAAACGTTATTGCAAGATCATTCAAGCTTCCTGATTTAATCTCTCATCTGCTTTTTAATTATTATTAATTATTTCAAATTTATTTCTTCATTGCGTATTCAGGCAAATCTTATTGCTTCTCGATAAAATCTACTAATGAGCAAAGTTTTTCACAATGCTTTTAATATTTTTCTCATAATACTGACATCCATAAAGAGTTACAGTCATTTGTCTAAATCTAATTATTATTGATATTAGTATTCGTTATAATAAAAAAAAAAAAATTGATTAAAAGTAATTTATATAATAAACTATGGATATATATATTCCAATATTGTCGAGACTATGTACGGTAACATAAATATTTATCAAAATAACTGTATATGTATTTGCATTTATATTATTTTTCTATACTCATGGCTTTATAAGGAAAATAAAATTACAAATTTATCATTTCCCATGCTTAATATCTACATTTAATGACATAATTTTGTTTTATTATTAATGTAATGAAAATTTGGTAGTTAAAACTTAATAATAAAGAAAATATACTCATATTATATATATATATTTATTTAATTACATTACCTTTACTGGTGAGAAGACCAGTGCCGAACCAAGGAAGTAACATGTCATAAATCATACTCTTATCGATGTGCTTTGTACTACTTAATATTGTCTAAAAGAAATTATAAAATATTTCTTAATTAGATTGTAATATTATATTAATAAATCAATTATTGTCGATAATTAACTGCATTGTTTCTAAAATTATCTTAAATGTTCTATCTTTTACGGATCTTTTACAAATATTTTTGAAAAAAATAAACAAGAAATACCTAAATTGCGAAAGCAGAAGTAAATTTCTTTTATATTTTATTACCTCTAAATCATCTGGATGACGGATGGATACAACGGGAGTAAAAAAACACCAAACTTTAAGAATGGGATAATACTTGTCAGGTATGGTAATCAGAAGCTTCCATTGTTCTTCTAAAATATATATGTAATTAATGTAATAAATAAATTACATGAATGTATAGAATTATTGTAAATATTGATAAAAATTATGTTATAAATGATTATATATAATGATAAATTTTAATAAAATTATATTAATTAAATTCTACCATTTCTTATATATAAGTTCAATAATATAATTAATCAAATGAATGTTATTGTGTAAAGAAATAAAGGTTATTAAAAATAATCAACATGCAATAAAATTGATAGTTAGTTATTTTAAAATGGAAAATTTTTAAATATCACTTTTGTTTACGCACACTTTACTTTTACTTAATACAAAATTGAAAATTAATTTACACAAATGTATAAGAAATTTTAACTTGCCTCGAGAACACATATAATCTAATACATTTCCAGAAATCGGGTAACCTACTGGTCCTGGTATAAGATTGATAAGTTTCCCATTTCTCCCATGATGTACGTAATAATTGTATACCAATACAATAAGGATAAGTAGTAACAATATAGCAATAATCATTGTTTATTGCTGTAACTAACCAATTTAATCAGTTCAGTTTCTATCAATTTTCTGTTCTTTTGATTATTGGCTTTCACGAATCACCGCATATGTAATATTTGCTTCAGGACAAAACACATTGCCGTCTTAAAACCTAAATGTGTTTGATAAATAAAAAGTACATTAAAATACGTTTATTGTACTTTAATACCAAAAATTTTAATAAATAAAAATTCCTATTATTAACATGACTTTATTCTATCGCTGCATACAGAACTTATTGACAAATATTTATCTATATCTATAAAGGAAGATGTCCTGACTGACTGACTGACTGACTGACTGACTGACTGACTGACTCATCAACGCCCAGGCCAAACCCCTGAACCTAGAGACTTGAAATTTGGAGGGTGTATTCCTCTCATGACATAAGCACCCACTAAGAAAGGATTTTTAGAAATTCCACCCCTAAGGGGGTGAAAAGGGGTAAAATGTGTTTTTTTTACGACTGTCTTGACTGACTGACTGACTGACTCATCAACGCTCAGGCCAAACCCCTGAACCGAATTTTTACCAAAAATATATAAAATAGGGGTAGAATTTTCCGGGGAGTGCCACTATGTGTATAGTTTT